TTGGAATTGAGATCTCTGCTCTAAATTTATTTAAATTAAATCCTTCATATAATACTTTGAGTTTTGATGGTTGAAAACTGAAAAGTTGTGAAGATATAAGATTATAGTAAAACTTTTGTATATAATTTAGGTTACACAATTAAAATATGATTAAGTTAATTTTTTATATTTATAAATTTAATAGGATAAGTTAATGTGGTCTTATGTTATGCTTAGTATGATCATTGTGATCTTTTAAATGTAAAGCATGTCTTGAATTTGTAGATACAAAAAAATTATAACTTTGCATTGCAAGCCATATTGATTACAAAATGTGAAATTAAATAAATTAAATATAAATTTTACAGTTCCTCTAGAGATGTAGTCTTATCTATGTATTTTTTAAGGTAAATTTTTTAGTATAAATCAAGTATTTCAAGTAAAATGACCTTTTTATATTTGATTTTATTATGAAAATTAAAAGTTCTTATTTATTTATTTATTGGTGTGACAATTGTAAGGGAGAAAAAATTTAAATGGAACCTTCTTTGCCAGAGATGGAACTAGATGCCTCTACCACTAATGCTACATTACCACTTCATTCGAGCACATCATTAAGGCATACTCGATCATTGGTATGGGAACATTTCACTAAAAATCTTGATGAAGACCATAAGGCAACTTGCAGTTATTGTGGTATCTTAATTAAGTACTTGACTAGAACTAGTGCTATGAAGACACATTTAATGAGATGTGACGGAGGTCCAAATAAAAGACTTAAAAGGCAAAGATCAAATTCTTCTTCATCACAAACTGTAGAAGGGCAAGTGAATGGTGGTGTTCGCTCTTCACCAAGTTATTTTAAATTTGACCAAGAAATATGCTAAAAGGAGCTTTGTGAAGATGTTTGTGGTTGTTGAGTTGCCATTTCGATTTGTGGAGAATGAATCATTTATCAAGTTTTTAGGTGTATTGCAACCACGATTTAGCGTCCCATCATGCTCTACATTAACTCGTCATATTTTTATACTCTTTAATGAGGGGAGAGAAAGTTTGAAGAAATTTCTTTCTATGCATTATGGGAAAGTTTGTCTTACAACAGACACATGGACATCAATCCAGAACTTGACTTATATGAGTTTGATTGCACACTTTGTTGATTATAATTAGAAGTTGCAAAAGAAAATTTTGAACTTCCGCCAAATCATGGGACATTCAGGAGAGATTATGGCAAAAAATGTTGAGATATGCTTGAATGAATGGGGGTTGAATCGTGTTTTTAGTTTAACTATGGACAATGCTTCATCTAATGACCTTGGGATTCAATACTTGAAAAAGAGGTTGATGTCTTGGCATAGTGTACTTTTGAAGGGGGAGTATATTCATATGCGTTGTTGTGCGCATATTTTGTGTTTAATTGTGAAGGATGGCCTTAAAGAGGTAGATTACTCCATTTTAAGAATTCGTGGTGCAGTCAAGTACATTAGATCCTCAGCATCTAGATTGGCTAGATTCAAGGCTTGTGCTGAACAAGAAAAAATTACCTATAAAGACCTTGTTTGTCTAGATGTTGAAACTAGGTGGAATTCAACTTACTTAAATTTGGAGGCAGTTCTCAAGTATAAAAAAACATTTGACTTACTTGAAATGCAAGATAATAAATATGTTGAGGATCTACATAAAGGGAAAGGTGTACCATTAGAATTTGATTGGGATGATGCTCGTTTGCTCTTGCCTTTCTTGAAGATGTTTTATGATGCAACGATATGTATTTTTGGTTCTTATCATGTCACTAGTAATATACATATGAAGGAAGTATTTGCAATTGGAAGGAAGATTCGCAAGTGTCAAGAGAATAATGATATTTTCATAAGGTCAATGGCTACTTGAATGAGAATTAAATATGACAAATATTTAGGGATAGGGTTTAACATTTTGTAAACATCTTGAAATATTGGGGAAGACCTAATGGAATTAACATTTTGTTATTTATTGTTGTTGTCCTTGATCCTAGGTGTAAATTGGAATATGTTAACCATTTCATTGATTATTTATTTGATGATGATCAGGCAAATGAATTAAAGTTAAAATTGTCGTCTAGTTTAAGATCACTTTATGAGCAGTACCAAGGTATTGAGGAGGGTTCTCAAAGTAATCACCAAGTAGTACAATTGGATGATGATGATGATGATATCCATAGTATGAGTTTTTATTTAGAAACAACTGGGCGTAGATTTGATGCAAAATCTAAGCTGGACAAGTATCTAAAAGAAGATTGTGAGCTTTTCATCAAGTCAGTTGAATTTGATATTTTAAATTGGTGGAAAGTAAACTCAACTACATTTCGAATCCTTGGAAGTATAGCTTGAGAAGTGTTAGCCATTCCCGTTTCTACAGTAGCATCAAAATCTTCATTTAGTACTAGAGGAAGGGTTCTTGATCCTTATTGAAGTTCTCTTACTCCTAGAATGGTGGAAGCACTAGTTTGCACGCAAGATTGGTTGAAAGGATAATCTTTTTTGGTATTTACTAATGAGGACTTTGAAGAGCTTGAGAAATTAGAGCATGGTAAGTTAATATGAATGTTCTACATATTTTTATTATGTTTTTACAATAACTTGTCAAAATTATGAAATATGTTTATCTTTTTTTTTTTTTTTTATAGAGATATTGTCTCCACAAGAAGGGACTTCATTGACCGCTATTAATCTTGATAATTAACATTAATTAGGTGAATGATTTCATTGCACAAATATTTAATATCTATACAATGAAAATTTCATAGTACTCTGTTTATTTAGCAAGTTAAATCTATATTGCATATTAATGTGATAACTTTTTTTAGGTTACAAACTATTTTAATATCAAGAAGCCTTGAACTGTACATGCAAGATTGTAACTGACATGATGAAAGGAAATTCTCTAGAAGAAATTTCAAAGACTAAGATTTGATTGGTTTTCAAAAAATCTGAATGAAAGATCTATTATCTGGACTTTTATTAATGTTATAATTGTTTTACATTTCAAACTATTTTAAATTTAATTCATAATTAATAACAATGATTTGGTAGCTCAATTTAAAAATGTTGATTTTAAATTTATTTATTTTTTAATGTAGTTCAATTTAGTTTATAGTTAATAATAATTTAATTTAATTGATATTATAGTTTAGTTCAAACTCCTAGAACTATAGTCCACTAAACTAGATAATAGTTTAGTTCAGTTTAATTAATATTTATTTTAGTTTAATTCAATTTAAATTTATTTTAGTTTAATTCAATTTAAATGGTTCAGTTTAATTTTTTTTCTAGTTTAATTTAATTTATCAATTTGAAAACCCCTAATTATAATGGTTTTCCACTACCTAAGACACCTTTGAATCCTTGAAGGTTGCAATGCAATGATCAATTTGCCCACATTAACACCGTAAAAAATTTCAAAAAAAAAATCCTTTATAATAGAAACAGGTGGTTCAAACAAGGATTAGTGATAAGAAAAATACCTAGAGGGAGAATAGAAATTAATTATTATGGGTATGTATTTTTCTTCTTCTTGTTTTTACTTTTATATATTTGTATAAGAAATAATGAAATAGGAAATAACAATAGAAGAATCTCAAGTGTGTGGTTCAGCGGTAGGGGTTGATCCACCCTTAAGCAATCAGGGGTTCGAATCCTGCCTTGTGTATAACAATAGAGGTAAATAGGCCCTAATTATTTAAAAGAAAAATTCACTTAATCTTTTTTAATATATAGCTACTAATTTTTATTAGTTTGTTTCTAGCCGGTTCTATATAGTTTATTTGAACCGGTTGACCCGTTCATGGTTTTTCAATTCAACCAGTTCGTTTGATTCATTTTGAAAATATTGGTTTCTATATGTGTAAGAATAATATTCTTTTATTTGAACATAGTTTAAACCTCGAAACATGGCCCAAATAGGATTTAATTTGAAACACATACGATTAATACTTTTTTTTTCTTTTACTTTTAAGATTTTTTTTTACCTTCATTTGGCAGATATATATTGAATTCATCGAAACATTGAACATCTGGCAATGATTAATTCGAAGAAAGAGAGAATTCATAGGCTGAAAATTAATGGACAAATTAGTTACTGTATAGTTCAACACCAATCCTTATTACTGCCGAATGGGCTGCATTGTTCAAAAGATTTGTCGGACGAGATTACTACAAAACATCATTTTCATGTGTGCTACAAGGGAAACCAGGCCTTGATATTTAAGATGAGAATATTAAATTATAATATGCATGTCATGATGATTGATGATTCGGTGAGAATATTAAATTATAATATGCATGTCATGATGATTGATGATTCGGTGAGAATATTAAATGATAAGACTTTATTTACGAGACACAAATATAAGACTTTATTTATAAATTATTACAGTACATTTTTAATTATTTTTTCAGAGGGACCAGAATTTTAATTTAATGAATTGGACTTCATGATTTATGTGCAATAGATCTTCAATAACTATACAATTTTATAAGTAACTAATCTCCTTATGTTCAAATATAGCAAAACAAAATAGCTTAGTTGAAAACATTAATTTTAATCTTTGCAAGTATATAGGAATATATTTTTCATATGCAATTATTATATAAACTTGAATCACTTTCTTTATCATATTCTTTCAATGAATTAAATTAATATAAAAAATAAACTTTAATTTGATTTATATTTAAAAATAACTGTGTAATTATAATAATATTTTAAAGGTGACAAAATTTATTATAACAAAATAATTAAAATAAGATTTCATTTTTTTTATCCATAATAATATTTCATTTGAATTTAAAGATATTAACATATTCATAATAAAAATAATTAATGCAATTTAATTTATACAAAAATAATAGTAGTAATTTTTATAACTTAAAATAAAATATGATTTAACAGGGTGCCACACTCAAGTCTTTCATTCAAATATTCAATCAATCTCCTTGTTCCCCTTTATACATAAACACCAATCATTCGAGCCTTTCATTAGTTCTCTTACATAGTGCCGTCTTAAATCACCTTTGAAACTATCTTTAGCTTTTGTAGAGAAGGAAGGTAAGAAGAATCTCACCTTGTACCTTTTTTTTTTCTGCTGTAGGTGGATACATGACACCTTTGACTTTAACTTCGGATGTCCAATTTGAAGAATTTTGCATGGTGCTATTGTATATGGATTTTGATACATATTGGTTTTGGCCTCTTGAAACTTCTATTTGGTTGTGCTGATCAACTACTATTGCATCATTCACTAAAGTTTCTATGCTTTGGTTGTTAAATTCCATTCGGTGTATAGATATTTAATGTTGGATTTATACATGAATAATATCACATGGCATGTGTTTCCCAATGAAACCTGTTAGCTTTCTAACAAATTACAATAAATTACTACTACCATTTATTGTGATTTGAAAATAAATTATTTGTAATTCTTTTATACTTCTATCACTTTGTATGGCCTTTGATTCTGCAGCTATAATGGATTAATTTGCTGGTATCTCAATGTATAATGCTAGTTTTGAGAGTCATTTATGACCTTCATAATTAATATTAACTCATGTAGGATTTAATGGTTCCTAGCTAGAGTTGTTGGTTAATATCCCTGTCTAGATGTACAAGTTTTTGGGAATTTCAATTTTCCAAGAGGGCATTTTCTGCCAAAATTTGTGGAGCCATGTTAATTTTGTTTGCTTATATGAAGATGTTTCCATGAATAGTCAAGCTTGCCAGACTAACCAATCATTTTGCTAGCCTTGGTTCTAAGTGTTCACTAACTTTTAGAATTATATATGTTCTTCTACTAATTATCTAATTTTAATATGAACAATGTTAGTAATTTATTTTATTGCTTACTCTTTATTATTCAGTAAATTTCATGTGATTTTCACTTATAAAAACAAATCATACTCTCTTCTGTGAACATCTTTTAATACAATCTCTTAGGAAAAAAAAATAAAAAATATATAATTTTGTTGAGTAAGTACTATCAGGAATCAGGATATATATATATATGAAAAAGAAACGTTGTTATTTAATAATATATTGACACATTATTTATAGTATTTATTTGAGTTATTGGGAATGAAAATGTAATTAAAATATGGTAGGGAAACCTTTATAACCCGAATGCACGTAGTAGGTCCAATCAAATAAACCGAGCAAGAGGATTGAATAGGTGAAGACAATGTCAAAGTTTGGAGCCTCTTTAAATTTATCGGTGCCTACTCTCCAAGAGTTGGCAAAGGAACCAATCACCAAAGTTCCAGAGCAATATCTTCGTCCAAATCTAGACACTCAAACTGACACAACTTCTTTACCACAAGTCCCAATCATCGACCTCAGTAAATTGGTGTCTGGAGATGTAGATGAGCTCGAGAAGCTAGACCATGCATGTAAGGAATGGGGTTTCTTCCAGGTTTGAATTAATACTCCGTCTTAACTATATTTTTTCTTCAATAGTTAAAACTTCTGCCAAAGTTACATCCATAGTCATATAAGGGGCAATATCATCATTATATGACCAAAGATGAGTTTGGTTGAATCAATCATAATTCAACTCAATGGTTAATTTCAAAACTTAATTCGAATTTGATATGGATTGTTTTTTAAATTTGAACTTAATGTGATAGATAGAATCACATGAATCAAAAATTAAATTTTTTGAATCTTATATATTTAAAAACTTAAGTATATTTTTAATTCTTTAAATTTAAAATAGATTTTTTTACTTCTTATAATTAAAGACTAAACATATTTTAGTATCTTGGGACCACCAACAACATCACAAAAAATAATAATAATAGATTATAGGTCAATTGTACAATATCGATTAAGCCTAATATGATAATTTTACTAATAATAACGTTAATAAGTGAACTTTTGTGACAAATTTAGTAATATGTTAGTTTAGCTTGACATATTTACTAACAAAATTTGAGTAGAGATATTAAAAATATTAATTTTAAAAGAGATTAAAATTAAATTTATCTTTTATAAAGAAACTAAAAATGTATTTAAGTTTAATTTTAAAAAAGGATTAATTATATAAACAAGTTGAAATATATGCAACTTAAACAAATTAGATTATATATATAATTTAAGTTCAATTCATTTATTTATTAAATTCAATTTTTTTGTTCAAGATTAACTCATTTGTTTATAAATAAAATTTAATAATATAATTATCAAATCAAGTAAGATTTATTATCATATCTAATCAATATTTTCATACAATTTATACAACACAATTATGGAAGAGAGAAAGAAAAGTATGAAATTCAATAATAAATATTATTGTATATAATATTTTATGAGTTTTTATATGAATATTATCTCTCTCATAAATATCCTGAAAAATGAATGATCATATGATTGCGATATAATCCCATAAGATTTTTAAGTCCTTCCATCACATAAGTTGATTCATAACTAAACATAGTAAATTAGTTAAATGCTTTTAGATGGATCATTTTATCATTTGATTCATAATGCATTTTTAAGATAAAATTTCACTACAAGAAAAATTCAAATCACCGAAGATACATTTTGTATGTAATTTAAAAAACTCGTCACTAAAATTTGTGTTTGTAAAATTAGCGATGAAAAAGAAATTTCTATCATTAATTGAATTTTGCGACTAATGCATTGATATCTAGTTTTCCATAGTTGTTCCTTATAATAACACACCATGTAATATAAAATTTGAATATGGTCTTACTATTCAAGACATTTCTATATATATATATATATATATATATATATAATAATTGAAAAGGCTCATGAATGAAAGGACATAAAATTAATTTTCCTAGTTTCATAAATATGATTACTAACTTCAAAATAATTACAGTTGATTAATCATGGAGTCAACTATTTCTCGGTGGAAAATATGAAGATAAGTGTTCAAGAGTTCTTCAATCTTCCAATAGAAGAGAAGAAACCTTTTTGGTTAACACCGGAAGATTTGGAGGGCTTTGTTGGTCATCATGTGTTTGATGAACAAAAGTTGGATTGGGTAGATCCATTCTTCATTTACACTCTTCCACTTAACAAAAGGAATCCTCGCTTGTTTAATAGTTTTCCTCATCCCTTAAGGTTGTTCCCATTATCTTAGTATTTGTTTGTCTACTATATGTTGAGCGATTATGTAGACAACTCTAACAAATTGTTTCAAATGCAGGATTAACTTGGAGAATTATTCTTTAGAAATGGAAAAACTTTGCATCACAATCATTGAGTATATGACAATAGCTCTAAAGATTAAACGAAATGAAGTGCAAGAGTTATTTGAAAATTCACTTCAAACAATGAGGTGGAATTACTATCCTCCATGTCCCCAACCAGAAAATGTTATTGGATTGGATTCTCATTCTGATGGTGGTGGCATTGCCATCCTTCTTCAAGCCAATGAAATAGAAGGCCTCCAAGTAAAAAAAGATGGAAAGTGGATACCTATTAAACCCATATCTAATGCTTTTTCCATTGTCCTTGGAGACACTTTAGAGGTAATTGATCTAAAATCTTTAACAAATTTTTTATTATTATCATTTTACATATTCAAGTGATTTTGTGATTATGAATAAAAATAAAAGTTAACCACACAGTATGAATTCAATAATAAATTTAATTGTGCATAAGCTTTCACATTATATCGGGTTTGAACAGTATTGAATATATATACCATGTGACCAAGGTTAAATTAACACTACAAAAAAAATAGGTAATTACTGGCAGTTTGTTTTTTTGCGGTTTCCATAAACCGCCAAAAAATGTTACTAATTGTACAAATTATTGACACTTTCTGGCGGTTTTAAACCACAGGAATGTAATCGTTACAAGTGTTGGCACTTTATGGCAGTTTTAAACCGCCAGAACGTTCAGTAATTTATTTATTAAAATTAAACTTTAAAAAAACATTTTTAAAACGAAATCCGGCGAGTAACGGTAAGCACGAAGGGTACCTTGGGGAAAAGATAAAAATGGAGGCAAACTGCGTCCCTTTTGAAAATTTCACAATTTCACTAACAATAATAGCAAATATCAAAAAGAAGAGAAAACAAACTTGCAAGAGTAAGAGACGAAATTGAAGAAAACCAATTCGGAAGAGAGTGAACTCAAAAGCAAACTCTTTCTGAATACTACAGCCAATAGGGGCAAAACATGGACAAATTCTTCTTGGTTTCCTTACTCGGTTTGCTCATAGCAACTCATGGAGTTGTAGGAAACATGATGTGTGACAACATTGGCTTGTTTTTTCAAAAATTTTCCAGATCCAAAACATTGGTTGCAAATGGTGGGCAGCATCATGTAAAAAGAACAAGTTAAATGTAATTTTTTCAAAACTTGGTCTTGGTTATTTTGAAGTCTTAAATAATAACTTTCTGATTTTCCTCTTATTCTTTGTCACAGCCTTGCAAAGGTGCACCAACAATAAGAGCCACTTTTTTAACCATTCTTTTCTTCAATATGTGTAATGAGTCAATTCTTTTGAGTTTCAAATGTTGCTTTGAGCATTTAGGACGAAGTGAACCATGGAAACATGATTCATTATCAAAATTCATCTTTAGTAGACATTAAAATAAATTTATCTTTTTGGTTTTATATCAAAATTAGTAAAATTGTTATTTAAGAGTAACTTAAATTAAATAATAATATAATATAGTCATTATTAATTTTAAATTATTAATATAATTAGTAATAATTTTAAACAATAATTTGATAAATACCTAAAATATATAGATTATTATTTCTCAATTTATAATATGAATGTGCTTTTAAAATAATTTTTAATCTATTTTTTAAAATAAGAAAAATGTATTGATATAATGTAGAATGACATTAAACTGTCAGAAAATGTGAGAAAAATAAAAAAAAAA